TGGGTAGCCCCTAACTTATAAACAGATTGTGTTCTGGAAGGTAATTTACAGGTCAATTATTTGTGGTTTAGAATAGAAGGGAACGTGCGTGCTAGGAACGGGGCAGGGATGGGGGAAGAATTTCTATACTGTTGGAGGCAAACGGCTTTGTGGCTGGGACTAGAAATGTTTCTTCCATTCTCTCTGACTCCTTGGGTAAAGAGGGAATTCCTAGACCTTCTATCATGGAGTGACAAGGGAATCTTGCTCCCTAGAGCTGTAATTGCTTGCTTGGGTTAGCAGTGAGAGGAAACTATTTTGGAATTTTAAATTCTATGGTGAGAATCTTCTGAGTGGGTGGATAGGCTGATGATTCGATTCCTAATGCACTTCCTATTTTTTTGTTTCCCTTACTAAAGTCAGAGAAGATGCTAGTGGGCTTGTTTTTCTTTTTTTTTCTTCTTATTAAAAAGTAAACTTTAATGTCGAAAATGCACACTTGGGGAGGGCAGAAAGATCACACACAAGGCTGTTACTTAATACTTGGAGGGTTGCACAGCGGCGGGGCAGAGGAACTTCTTGCTTCCCAGACAGTGCGACGGCCGGGCAGAGGGACTCCTCACTTCCCAGACGGTGGCGGTGGTGGGGGCCGGGCAGAGGGGCTCCTCACTTCCCAGACGGTGGCGGTGGTGGGGTCCGGGCAGAGGGACTCCTCACTTCCCAGACGGTGGCGGTGGTGGGGGGCCGGGCAGAGGGACTCCTCACTTCCCAGACGGGGCGGTGGCCGGGCAGAGGCGCTCCTCATTTCCCAGTGAGTGGGCGGCCAGGGAGAGGTCGTTCTCACTTCCCAGATGGTGCGGCGGCCTGGCAGAGGGGCTCCTCACTTCCCAGGCGGGGCCGAGGCTGGGCAGAGGTGCTCCTTGCTTCCCAGACAGTGCGGCGGCTGGGCAGAGGGACTCCTCACTTCCCAGACGGTGGGGCGTCCAGGCAGAGGGGCTCCTCACTTCCTAGATGGGTGGGGGCCGGCAGAAGCGCTCCTCACTTGCCAGACAGTGGGGTAGCCGGGCAGAGGCGCTCCTCACTTCCCAGAGGTGCAGTGGCCGGGCAGAAGGGCACCCACTTCCCAAACAGGGCTGCGGCCGGGCAGAGGCGCTCCTCACTTCCCAGACGGTGGGACCGCTGGGCAGAGGCGGTGGGCTTGGTTTTTCTTAGACGGGGCTGTAATATGCACACCAGGGACTGAGGGTATGCTTCCAGAAGGATGAATAACTTTAAAAGCTGATCAGAACACTTTTGTGAGCACTTGCAGTGATATCCGGAGCTTGAAATCTATCTTGCTCTCATTTTTCAGTAAGTAAAAAATTTGATCAATAAATTAATCTTTTAGATTAAATTAATTAAAATTAAGTACATAGTTATTTTTATCAAAGTCAGTAAGTTCATGTTTACAAAAATCAAGCAGAAGAGCTTGTAATGTAATGTCAATAACCATTCTATGCCTTGTCCCTCCTCCCATCCTACTCACCAGAGGCCGTGTCTTCTAATTTTAGCTTTCTTCTTATAGCTTCTGCCATGTCTCTAAATAACATGCATTACAGCTATTTATAGATTTATCCATTTTAGATATTATCTGTTGACTTCTGTTAATTAGTTGAGGTTTTAGCTCACTTAATCTTACTCCCTACCCCTCCTCCTAATATAATTATATTACTCTCTTATTGTTTATTTTTGCAACTTTAAGTAAAATATTTATACCATTTTTTAATCAGCTGTACACACCATCTCTTATTCTCTTCATCATTGTTCTCTTTTCTCTCCCTAAACTTTTATCATCTGTATTTTTAGTGTCAGAATCAATGAGATTACATTCAGATACTTATGATAATTAAATATTTCATCCTTTATTATGTATTGGTTTTAAAATTGGAAATTAATAAGGTGCTTACCTTATTCTTACAATGATGTGATGATGAGATTTTGGTTTTTGTTTTCTTTGATGTTTCTAATTCCCTTTCCTGCCATACCTTTATTGACAATGTTGCTCTAAATAATCAAGAATATCATCAAATCCTGACCTCCTTTATCCGTAGATAATTCTCTTTTGGAACTTCTAGTCTCTGAATTGTTTCGTGTTGAATACTGTCTACTAGCTCTCTTCCTTACTTTCTACATTTGGAGCTATTTTTTCCTGGTTTCCATGTTGTCCTCCTTTTTGCTTTGTTCCCTCATTTTACTCAAGTAACTGCCAAAGAAAGAACATGTGGTAAATAATTTCCCCTAATCTTTGCATATATGAAAATGTCTTCATTGTACACTCACATTTGATTGTTTTAATTTTAAAAAGAATGTCTTCTGGCCTTTTCTCAAGTTGTTCTTTCTGCTGTTCCTCTTCAGGTGCATGTTTTTTCCTCTTGGACTGATCCTCCATGTCTTTTTTTTTTTCTTCTCCGTGTTTCTTGTCTCTTTCTCTTTCTGTATTACTTTCTGTTAGATTGTATCTTCTAAAATTCATGTTCAATATTTAATTGCTATTCATTTTTAATTTACAAGAGTTCTTGTTCCCTTATTATTTTTTCCACATAGCATTCTGTTTTTGTTTTGTGGATGTAATACTTCTTGAATCTCTCTAAGGATACCAATTAGATTTTTTTTTAAAGTTCTTCTCTGTTTCCTATAATATTGCACCTTCTTCCCCAGTTATTTTATTTTTGTTGTTCATTCTTTTTTTACGTAATTTTCATTTTTGTGGATTTTTACATTTTTAATTTGTTTACTTTTATTTTACTGGGGTCTGGTATACAAAAGAAAATAAACACATGTGGTCAATCCGTTATCTATAACTGGCTATTCTTCCCTCTTTCTGCATAGATAATCTCAGTGGAGCATTAGCCATGATAAAGAATACTCAGTTTTTCCTCCTGCTGTAGGTATTCTGAGGGAAATTAACTACTGTTTCAGGATTTAACAAAAGAGATAGTCAAACTGACTAGGCTTCATGTACACTTGGGAGGAATTTAGTAAATACTGTACTACTTTTAAGTCTAAGCTATTCAGTTCAGGAAATTGAGTTTATTCAGGGAGAGAAGACCAATATGAAGGATTATTCTGCCCCTAGGATAAAATCAAAGCTCTCTGACTTTATTCATTCAAGACCCTTCCCTGTCTAGTCTCCAGTTACTTATCCTGCCACTCTTCCTGGCTGCCTTTTGTCTACCCTAGCCTGCGCCGTGTTCCATGCTGCCATGCCTTTGCCCACGCTGGATCCTCTGCCTGGAATGTTCTCTTCCTCTCACACCCTCTTGAGTTCACGAAGACAGTGATCATATTTTAATTTCTATATCTATTGTTTTTGTATTATCTGTGCCAGTTACATATTAGGCATTCAAAAAGTTTAAATAAATCTTACTCATCCTTTTAGACTAGAGCAAATTCAAATATTATCCCCTCTAAGATACAGCCCTTTACCTCTCTCAGAGTTCATTGTTTTCTTACCTGTTTCTTTAGTTAGTTGTGGACATATCTATTTGTCTTGCTAAGTTCCTTGAGCGCAGGGACCGTTTCTTACCAATCTGGAGACCCCCAGGATCTTGCATTGTAATTGGCACCTGTTGGCACTCAAGAGCAATTTATGTATATATGGGACAGATGGAGGGAAGGACTGGTTGTAGATTTTCATTAAAAGCATATTTATAAAAATAGTAGCTTTATAGATTCACCTCATAAATATTGTGTTTTCTGTTCCTTTTAAATAGATCAAAGCATTCTCAATAATAGATTGCCATGTTTAGTAATTCCTCCTCCTTCACCCTCCTCTGTAAGATCATGGCTCACCACAACCCTTAGCTCCTCAGACCCTGTCTTCTTCCAAGTCTTTTGTCTTCAGTGGTGTCTGTATGAAGTGGAATCATTTTCCTAAGCCTGCCAAATCAAGTATAAACTCATCTAAGAAGAGTGCAGAAGCCTATCTGAAGGGTTGGCTACCCATATTGTGAAAAAACTGTAAATGCTTTCAATTAAATCATGATATAATATATCACTCTTATTTCACTCTATGTAGTATGTGTATCTACAGACACGCACATACATACACAATACCCTCTCCAGTTTACAACTAAAGAAGGATGTTTTTATTTTTTCTTTTTTTGGAGGGTGGGGAAGTGCATGGTCTTCTGTGGAAAGGAAGGGCCAAACTTAAATAATGATTACATTTAAGTTCTGGATGTTATTTGCTTAATTGAAATGCTTGAAAAGAAAGGAAGCACAGTTGATTTCCTGAGCATAAAAAGTATTGACGACTGATTTTCAAAAATGTGGGAAGTAGTGAGAATACACTAAACTGGCCAAACACAGACAGCTCTGTGGCTGCATTTCAAAATCAGCAAGAATTTCAAAATTAGCAAGAAGGTCCTGTTGTGTGGGCATCTTGATCAACCTCTAAAAGCTCTAGTATTAAGAGAGTCTAGTTACTATTCCTTACCAAGGGAAGGGTTCCATGGTGGTATGTGTGTCCATGAGGCAGTGCTCAGCCTCCTTCCTGTACCTTCCTGAGATGCCCCCTAGGTTGGGCAAATCCTAGTTAGGGTCAAGAAGGCAAATTTTTAGCTTCTGGCCAAAAGACTGAAAAGGCTAAGATGCTGGACAGAGCTCAGAATAAATTACTTTTGGGCTCTCTCTTGCTCTGTATTATTGGTATACCTTCACTGGGATGAAAAATTAGGACTTAAATATGTCTCATGGGAATCCACTGGATTTCTGCAGGATTTGTTGGTTTGGTTAGGTACGCTTTCTTTTCTAACTTGTTTTTGGAGTACAGTGACCTAAGTTAGCACTTGCATTCAAAATATTCACTTCTAAAATGATGTTGTTTTGTATTCCTTACAGGGCCACATTCCTGTTCAAAAGTCTGTGTTTTAGAGGGAAACAGAAATATCTGGATTGCTTGACATTATTTATGTCCTCATTGAATCTCAACTAATGTGTTGCCTCATGTGCCCTTTTTTCCCTTTTTTTTTTTTTAACAGATACTAATTTTGTGTTGGGGAATGCTCAGATAGTGGACTGGCCTATTGTGTACAGCAATGATGGATTTTGCAAGCTCTCTGGCTATCACAGGGCAGAAGTGATGCAAAAAAGCAGCACCTGCAGGTATTTATGTTTGGGGTTGTTCTGCTGAACAATCTATTATGGTATTTTTTGGAAAAAGAAAGTGGCTTACTGCATTTGGGAATTGCCTTTACCTCATTCAGTGTGTATTCAGAGGAAAATTTATTGCCATATCATCTCTAGTTCATGTACTGTACTGGGAAAATCAAAGCAGATATAAAACATAGTTCCCACAACTGACAAACTTGCAGTCACTAAGATGGGAGAAAACCCAGAAGAACTCAGGAAAACCATTCTGTCTATAAAATGTGAACTCAAAAGTTATGGCATTTTAGATTAAATTAATTGTGAAAGTTAGAGGCTCAAATACAGTGAAATGAAATTTTAGATGATTAAAACAATTTTTAAAAATTTGTGAGCATTTTAGAAGAGTAACTACAATGTTGGAGACAAGGGCCTTGTTCCTAGAGCTTTTCTTCAGTCAAAATTCTTTTTTGTTTTGAGATGGCTTCTTGCTTTGTTGCCCAGACTGGAGTGCAGTGGCGTGATCTTGGCTCACTGCAACCTCCGCCTCCTGGGTTCAAGCAATTCTCTTGATTCAGCCTCCTGAGTAGCTGGGATTACAGCCGTGTGCCACCACACCCAGCTAATTTTTTATTTTTATTTTTAGTAGAGACAGGGTTTCACCATGTTGGCCAGGCTGGTCTCGAACTCCTGACCTTAGGTGATCTGCCCGCCTTGGCCTCCCAAAGTGCTGGATTATAGGCATGAGCCCCCACACCTGGCCTCAGCCAGATTTTTTTACTTCAGAAAAAGATGAGAGAACCAATATTTTGTTGCCTTCTAATTCATGCTGTTACCTCTCTCTCTCTCTGAACTCTTAGCAAATTGTACTAACAGTGAAGCTGGTATATTTTTACAGGGTTTCTAACCAAGCAGTGTCCTTGGGCCGTGGTGTTAGAAAAGCTCTTTTAAAGCATCTTCCAGGTGTTGAGCCAGACATACAGCCTGGATCCTGCCAGACATTCCCCTGCTGTGCCCTGGCAAGGTCTTGGCCCACCATAGCCTTTTGGCTCCTCTCAGTCTCTGCCTTCTTCGTCTTCTGTCTTCAGTGGTGTTTGCATGAAGTGGAATCATTCATGCTAAATGAAGAAACAAACTCATCTATGAAGAGTGGAGAAACCTGTCTGACCAAGCATAGTCTTCTGTTTTCAGAAGTTGCATTTTTACTTGCTAAGTCAGCCATGTCACTTTACATTATTTTAAAATAAAACAGTCTTCTAAAATAAAATAAATGTCTGAGCTCATAAGAAGGAAGTATCAAATGTTTTGAAAATATTTCCACTTTCTTAAATCTTAGATTTTGGGGACTGAGAAATGGAAAATTGGAGATTTTTCCCCCTGACTGTTCAAGGGTTTAGAAATTATAATTCTTAATATAATAGAATTATCTTATATTCTTTGTGTGCTGTTATCCTCTAAAGTATTTATAGATCTGTTTATCTGCATCTATATCTCTATCTGTACTGCACATATATAATCAGAACAATTTCAGAGACGTAGCTTCACTTTTTAGTGGGACTTGAACAGCCTTTCCTTACCTTTCTTCTTATTGGCTATAATCAGACACTTTAAGGAAATCAGATAAAATAACTTGCTAATTTAGCCAGCTTTTTTTTTTATGCACAGTTCTCAGCAACTTATTGAATTACCCGAAGGTATCCCTTCTCTATAAATAAACATACCTTTGTGCTAGCTATGTTCCTGATAGCTCAGGAGTCTCTTTTACTTATTTTGTGCATTGTAAGCATTTGCAATCTAAGATCCAGGTAAAGGACACTTAGAACTACTGGTAATCTACAGCTTGAAAAAGTACATAAGACGAATGAAAACTGGGTGTAATTATGGCACTTCATTCATTTGAAGATTCAACTTTACAGAGATTTCTTTTACCTTGTTAAGGAAATTGCTGGCATATATACCATCACTTCATTTAAATGGAGGTCACTTATACAGAAAATTAACTCACAAAGAGAAAAAGGAAAAATCCTCTTATTCTTAGGCAGGGCTAAATTAGTCTTGATCTATTCTTCTTTCTAGAGATAATTCAACAAGCTCAGTTTTCCATTTCCTGGCTTACAGACAAAGAGTACAACCCCAAAGCAGAGTGCATAAGGACAACCACAGATAACCACATTCCTCAGAGGACTGGGAAGGGACATAAAATAACAACTGTGACACAGAATTCACAAAATCAACAGTTAGGACTCTTTTCTTATTGGGTGCCAGAATTTGGAAGCCTGTAGTAAGCCCAGGGTTGTTCCAGTATCAAGCTAAGCATAGTGCTTGACTTGGTGGTTCAGTTTTAGATCAGAAATTGCACTTGATAACCTCTGAAGTTCTTTGTAGCTCTGAAACTCTATGTTTCTGTGATTCAAGTCATCAAAAAAGGTTAGATTATATTGACTTTACAGTAACATTCAGGAACCCATGCCAGTTTGTGCATTACCTGACTTGAGGAGTGATCATTGCTGCTCTTTCTTGTTATTGCAGTCTGCAGGCCTGGGGTGGGCAGGGGAAATGCTTGCTGGGTCCATGGGCAGCCTTTGTCAGAGAACTGGACATTCCAGCCCCATTGAAAGATGTTTTTTCTCCCCTCCTCTGGCATTTTGTTAGTCTCCTGTGCCATTATTTATTCCACTTAACTGGAAGTATATACTGTTCCCAGAGGGACAAACCATAATTTTTAGACCAGATTCAGTGTGGGGCCCAGGTAAATAGACAGTCCTGGCGATTTTCTTGCTTCTGGTGAGAACTAGTGTTAGTAGGTAGACCTTCTACTCTTCTGAGGTTTTCTCTAACACATTACATGTACATTTAAATAAATGAATTTATTTTGCTGAGAACTAGAAAAGGAAAAAAATCTATGGTCTAAACTTACCCAGCCATCTTTACCAGGAAGTCTCCCAGAGTTGTATTTCTAAAATGAAATCTGATTATGTTTCTCCTTTGCTTAAAACCCTCCCGTGTGCTCCCATTGCTTTCAAGATAAAGATTAAATTACTTCCCATGGCTTATAATGCCGCGGTCTCCTCCATGATCTTGCCTCTGTTTACTTCTCTATATTATCTGTTGCAAATTTCCCTCTCATTGTCTATATTTCAATCATACTGAAATGAACTATAATCAGGGTCTGGAATTAATCTGACTGTCACCTCTGTGCCTTTGCAGTTGCTTGTCTTTTGTTTGGAATGTTTTTCTCCTTCTTTCTCTCAGCCATTTCCCCTCCTTCCTGCCCTTAGACCTAATTGTCCTTACTTCTGGGAAGCATTCTCTGATCAACCAGGGAGTGCACTGTGCCTATTCTGTGTGTTCTGTAATTCATTATGTGTGCTTGCCATTGTGGCAGTGATCACACTGTTCTCTAATCCACTGTTTTCTGATGTACTGTTTTATGGTGTGTATCTCTCATTAGACTGTTAGTTTTTTGGAGGCAATGAAAAAGTCTTATTCAGAGTTGAATCAGTAAATTTTTTTGAGTTAGTTAATGTTTTCATTGTGTGTGTGTGTGTTCCACAGTACATAGCACAGTGCTGAATATAGAACAGATATTTAACATATGGTTGTAGAATAATGAATACTTGTTAATCTAACTTCAGTTCTTTGGTTGTTTGCAGTTTTATGTATGGGGAGCTGACTGATAAAGACACAATTGAAAAAGTGCGGCAAACATTTGAGAACTATGAGATGAATTCCTTTGAAATTTTAATGTACAAGAAGAACAGTGAGTATTGAGACCATTCTGAACTATACCTTTTTATGTGTTTGAAATAGTAAAACATCTCCTCTTCCTCTGTTGCTGTCTTGGTTTTTCTTCTCTCACATCAGGTAAATGCTGTTACTTGAAGCCATTGTGTATGTTGGGATGAATGATACAGATTGATCAGTTACACTGTTTCTCACAGGAACATTTGATGAGGTTCTTGTCACTAATTAAGACTTCTTCATCTATGTTGTTGTTGCTAAGAGTTAGTGTTTTTTCCTACTGGTTTACATATGGTGAGTTGCTAGCTTAAGGCGCTTGTAGACTTTTTAAAAAGGGAGGGACAAGATGGGACAGAAATTCTGTCCAGTTCATCTTTGTATCTATCTTCCACAGCACTTAGCACATTAGTGGGTGCCTAATTAAGAGCTGCTAAATAAAAGTTTCTCCCCAGTATTAAGAGCAATACATTGTTAATTTGTATTTGGTTGTGGCTACAATTACTTCCACAAAGTATGTTAATGAGGTTTTAGGTCAATAGCCATACAGAAGTATAAAACTTGCTCTTCCCTTAGGAGGTTTCCTGTTGGAGATTAGCTATATTAGAAGTAGGGAAAGTAGGGTATATGGGCCTAGCAAGGCTGCATGGGTGTTAATAGTGGTTTGTTTCTGTTTTTTAAAAACACTAGTTTTGTAAGAAGTCCTGTTCCTTATATGTAGGATTGACTGGTAGGAAATTGATTCAATTGAACAATTCTGGGGTGGTCCTTATGGCACATGAGGATAACTGTTTAATTTGGTGGCATTTAGGTTTGAGTGATATGTTTTGCCCTGGAAAGTAAAGGGCATGTGTTGTTTTTATCTGGGAGCAGCTGGGACTTTTTTCAGGTCTGGGGTATTGGAGTAGGTGACTGAGATTACTGTTTGCTCGGTCGTCTGTGCCGATACTGGTCTGAGAGATTAGCACTGGCCATCCACAAGCCCGAGAGGGTTGTTACCAAAGCTTTCACACTGGAGTTGTTGCCTTGCTCCAATTCACTCCCTCTGCTGGCAGATCTAGTTCCCACCCCACTATTAGCTAGGAAAGGAACGAAGGGAAAGACTGTGAAGGGCTGTATGCCAGTGTTTCCACTATGGGGGAACACGACTCAACTCAAAGCAACAGCTCTTACCAGAAGCATACCAACAGCGGAAAGACATGTTCTGCACATGTGTCATAAGCTAATGGAATAAGTTAAAAGTTTACCACTTTGGCAGCACTAATGATTCACTTGCCATTGGTTTCAGTGAGCATATGCCCCAGAGTGAGTCTGAGATGCGACAGGGCAATCTGCCTTCTCCTAGCTGTCTCTGGGGCTGAAGATCCTGTATTATGAGTATCTCACTATGCTGAAAGTGATTGATTCTGATATTTGAAGTTCTGTACTTTAGGTAGACATGAACTACCCAGGTAAACCAACTAGATCAAATGATGGCCGACCAAAGAATCAGCATTTCTTCCCTTCCTGAAGTTTGTGGTAGGTTTATTGATAGTCTCCAAAGTGGCATATCAACCTGGGCATCAGGCTCTACTTTATGGGTGATATTAAAGCATTTTCAAGAGTAATTATGATCATATACAATTTTCACCCTAGCTTTTACCTTTAGAAAATAAACTTTGTGTAAGGCATGACTGTATTTTAAAATGTGGATTCTTTAAGCGCTGTGAAATAGGCACAACTGAAAGTTAATTCCTCATCCGAGGTCATGTAGCACCAGGGCTACTTTCCACTGTTTGCTCCATGGCCATTCTCAGTTTTATTGTGGGTACAAGGCAGGGCTAACACATAAGGTCGTACAGGCTATACGCTCTTAGGGGGAAGTGGAAATCAACTTGTGATTTCCTTGCTTAGTTCTCCATGGACCATGGTCTGGAATTGCATCTGTGCTGAGGAAGGAGTTTCTCTTTCTAATTCACACAAAGATGCCTAGTGGGTCAGCAGGGGCTCTGGACAAAGCTAAACTTGTACATACAACATGAACCATGAAACTAAGGAAATGATGAAGATAATGTTTTCTTCCTAGGACCTGCCCACTACCTCCAAATCCCACCCTCTCTTGAGGAATTAAGAACCTTTAACTTATTTGTTAAGCCTGGAAATTATACAGTTGCACTGGATTCTCTCTCTCTCTGTGTATGTGTTTTTTCCAATAGCTTTTTATTGACCTACAACCCTGTGGCAGACAGTAGGCTCGCTGCTAGGGATGCAAATATGAAGAGACAGACACAGTGTCTACTCTTACAGCATCTGTAGGGGAAGGGGCAGCATCCACGGAACAGAGCCGTAAGTGCTTTGATGGTGACACCACATAGGTGGCTCACAACTCCAACTTAGGGGGTCAGGGAAGGAAGTCTTCCTAACAGACATTAAGTGCCATGCAGAAACTGGAAGGATAGAGGGGAGTTAGACAAAGATCAGGGCCAAGAGTATCCCAGGCTGAATGCATGTGAAGAGGGCTGCAGCAGAGAGAGAGAACTGAGGGTTCAAGAGACACAAACCCATGCTTCTTCAACTTTGACATGCATAAGAACTCACCAGTGAATGGAAATGTGTATTTCTACGCCAAGGGTCTAGCAAAGGATCTGCGGTTCTGCTTCCAGGTGATGCCGATGCTGCAATTCCAGATAGCAAAAGAAACAGATTGCACTTGGAGTAACAAGGACAGAAAGAGCTGCAGTGAAGACTGGCTTCCATGCCAACAGGGTGCATCTCTTTCAGAGCTCTACCCCTTGCACCCAGCCCAGTGCCTGACACATAGAAAGTGCTCCACCCAAACTCATGGAGTAAATAAATATATGAATAGATGAGGGGCCAGGCGCAGTGACTCACGCCTATAATCCCAGCACTTTGGGAGGCCGAGGTGGGTGGATCACTTGAGGTCAGGAGTTTGAGACCACCTTGGCCAACATGGTGAAACCCCATCTACTAAAAATACAAAAATTAGCTGGTGGCGGGTGCCTGTAATCCCAGCTACTTGGGAGGGTGAGGCAGGAGAATTGCTCGAACTCCAGAGGCAGAGGTTGCAGTGAGCTGAGATTGTGCCACTGCTCTTCAGCCTGGGTGACAGAGAGACTCTGTCTCCAAAATGTGTGTGTGTGTCTGTGTGTGTATGTATATATATATATATATAAAAATATATAAATACATGAGAAGTAATATGAGGTTGGAGAGGCTAGGAACGGCTAGTCACACAGCCAAGTTAAATCATTTAGAATCTGTCTTAAAAGCGGCAGTGGTAGAGAAGGCGGTGGAGGTGAGGGGTGTTGAGGGATTTTAAGCAGGGTAAGTATGTCTTCAGATTCCATTTTAGAAAGATGGCTCTAAGCCGAGGAGTGGTGGCTCACGCCTGTAATCCCAGCTACTTGGAGGCTGAGGGGGGAGGATCGTTTGAGCCCAGAAGTTTGAATCTGACCTGGGAAACATAGCAAAACCCTTCTAAAAAAGAAATGAAAAGAAATATGGCTCCAGCTAGAGCGTGGAGATGGAATACAGCTTAGTGAGCAGGAGGTAGAGGAGCTGTTAGGAATCCCTCTGACAGCAAAATGATAGTGGCCTGGTCAGGCCAGTGAATGCCTGGAAGAGGCATTCAAACTGACAGGTGTCCAGGGGGCTATGGAGGAGATGAGCGCAGGGCCTTTGTCAGTGGTGTCCTGTGATGGGCTCCTCCCTTAGTTTGGGAGCCCCAGGCAGAGCCCAGGAAGTAGGAAGCCCCGCGTTAGGTAAAACTTGCTAGTGTCTGGCTGGGAGCCGGCATTGAGGAGTGAGGAGGTGAATGTTTGCTGAGTTACTTTGAAAGGAACCTGATATTTACCGAGAAACAACATGTTGTGGTGCAAAGTGAGGGCATCAGAGCCAGGGAGTGAGCAGGAAGAGAGGAGTCCACTGGGAATGGAAAAGGGGCGGAGGGGAGGAAGGAGGGTTTCATGTTTCTTTTCACCTCTGTGGAGGTAGAGTTTGCTTCTACTTTGAAACTTTTGCTTCTACTTTGAAACTTCGCTGTTCAATAGAGTAAAACATTCAGCATTTTAAAGCAATATAGAGTTCCATGAGGTAAAAGTTCTTCTTGTTGAGATTTTAAAAAGTGAAATATCACTATCTTAAAGCATATTTTTTCTCTGATTTTTAAATTAATGCATTTTTACCATGATGAATGCATGCAAAAAATTTAAAGAAAAAAAACCCCAACAGACTCAGAGAAGTACTATTATACTATTAACTTTTTGGTGTGTTTCCTTTTTGTTTTTGTCTGTGTACATTTTACATAATGGAGATTTTGACATGTATACAATTTAAAAATCATATGTTTATTTAGTCTTTATCACAAAAATATCCCCATTATTAAAATTCCTCATAAATATAATTTAGAAAGAATTTTATTAATGTTTCCTCTATTATTATTTATGAGGCTCAATTTTCATTATTAAAAACAATGCTGAGGTAAAAATTGTTATACAAATGTATTTTGTTGACATTATGAAATATTTCCTAGAAGTTGAGAGTTGCTGTTTCAAGGAATATGAACTAAGGTTTCTGAGACATTTTGCCAAATAGCTTTCCAGAAGGACTGAACCCATTTCCAAGTCCTCATACAGAATGTGAGTGTCTGACTCATTATGCCTCACCAGCATTGAATAGCATAATTTTTAAATTATCAAATTGCCCACAATTTTTTTTGTTTAATGAGCTTTTTAATGCTAGTGAGATTGAAGTATTTTTTTCCTATTTATTATCCATTTAAAATTACCCTTTTAAATGTTAATTGTTCGGATTCTTTGCCTATATATCCTATTTAATTATAGGGATTTTCCCACTCATTTTTACAAGCTTTTAATACATTGTTTTAGTTCTCTTTTTCCCAGTCTCATTCTCTAGGGTTGGCAAGGACAACTTTGTAGAAAGGATCTGTCATGCGCGTCCATGTGAAGAGACCATCAAACGGGCTTTGTGTGAGCAACATGGCTGTTTATTTCACCTGGGTGC